TACTAAGTTTCTTACAGCGATGGGGAAAGCACAGGTACAAACCTCCCACGACGTCTGCGAGGGCTTCCTGCCCACCACAGAGTCTATGCTGACACTTGTTCTGCACACTCATTAACACATGAGCTTTTATGTAGTTTTTAAAATAAAGCAAGCTGCTAGTTAGTGCACATGTGTGTGCTTAATGTAGTCATTTAAAGTAAAAAGCTACAGCTTGTATTGATAAGGTAGACAGTCCATACAATGTTTTGTTCCAGGAAGAAAAACTCATCTCTTCCCTTAAGATTGTAAAAGCTGCAACGTAATTAGTGTGTGTGTGTGTGTGTGTGTGTGTGTGTGTGGTATTTTAGAGGCCTTTTTATGTCAGATAAAATAGTTTTAAATCACCTATAAAAACTCATATGTTATCATTTTTTGCAAGGGAACCTTTTGTCAGAGCATAGTCTTGCTTGTCCCTCCCCTTCTGCCTAGAGCTATTTCACTGTGATGCAGCAAAATGGAGTCGTTACCACAGCAACTATACAAACCACACATTTAAAATACCCCATTCTCTTCAAACAAGTGTTTCCAACCCTTGCTCAAGGCCGTAAGCTCCTTTAAAACAGGAAACACATTCATTTTTCCATTTTTTAATCACCTTGCTGCTAACACCAGTTCCGATATACATTCATAGTTCAATAAAAGTATGTTTAATAAATGGCCTAGTGCATGAAACAGCATCACTAGTTGTGCATACAGAATGTAATCGGTATTGCATACTAAAAGTATTTGCCAACAACAAAGGAAACTGTACTTCCTTGTAGCACCTTCATCTGTTCAAGCCTTTATCGTTTTTTATAAATAATGCCAGAAAGCATATTAATGAAAGACTGGGGTATTTGATGTTATTAACATTACATTGATCACAATAAAAACAAAGGATCAAACATCAGTGTTAAACATATGACCCCAGTCAATCATTGAATGATGGGGTAGATACTCACTTGGTGAAGACATAAGAGGAGAGTGCTTCATGAGATGGAACAACACTTCCAATGTCTTAGGATGTGAAGGTATTTAAGCTTTAGAACTGAAGGGAGGGAACAATGTCCCAAACCAAAATGGAGAGTTGGCTGGAGATTTTCAGATGATTGACATATAGAACAATGCCGACTCCATCTTCAGTTAGGTCCCTCCAAATGGCCAACTTCATGCTTGCATTTGTAAAGCTGGCCTGAAAGCCCAAAATTGTAGGCATTGTCCCAAAAACAAGGTTGGGCTCTTTGTTTCAGTCCAATGTCTTCCCAAAGTGAACATGTTTCTATACTGACCACAGTGCTGTGAGGACCCTGTGAGAGGAAACATGGTGAGAGACAGTGAAACATGAAACAGACCCTGTGTGGGAGCAAGGGGAAGACAGTTTTGAAGCCTTGCCCTCCTCAATGGGACCTCCATGAAATGATGGCATCGTAATGTAAGAAAATGTAGCTATTACTTAGATCTGTCCCTTTCCTTCTGAGTTTTGGGGATCCCTGGGGTTCTTCAAAGGCACCATGAAGGGTATTGAGTAAAAGGGGAAATTCACAGTCAGTTTTCAGAGTCTTCAGACCTATCTGCTCTGTTGTGATCTCTGAGACAACATAGGAATCCTGGGTCAGATTCTGCCTCTGTGAAGGCAGCAGAGAGGAAAATAAGGTGGAAATACATTGCCCCATTGTTCTGATCAAACATCTGACATAACAGCTTAGGGAAGGAAGAGTTTATTTAGGCTCACAACTTAATATACCATGGTGGAGACAGCATGGTCAGCAGGAGCATTGGATAGAGGGTCACAGGGAAAAACAACTGACCATGGACAGTTTGCTTTCTCTTTTATGTTTAGTCTGGAGCTTCAGCCTAGGGAATGGCATGGTGTAACGTGTATTCTTCCCCGCCAACTGCCTGGGTCCCACTGCTGTCTCAGTCCCCATATATCACACAAGACACTATATTAATTATAAAGATGTTGGCTATTTGTTATGGTTTCTTAATGGCAAACTCTGACTTAATTATTAACTCATAATTACTAATATATATTTTTATTAGGACTTATCTTACCAAGGTTGCAGTCTCATGTGTTCTCTCTTACGGGATCACATGGCGACTCTCCACTCTTCACTACATTTCCCAGAATCCTCCTCGACTCCTAGTCCCACCTATCTTGCTTCCCTATTGGCCAACAGTTCTTTATTTATCAATCAATCAGACAAACATATACACAGAAGGACTTCCCCATCAGCATGGCTCATATATCTTTCCACTTCAACTAATCCAATCTAGAAACTTCCTCACAGGCAGGCCAGAAATTTGTCTTCTACATGAATATAGATCCTGTCAGGCTGGCAAACTGCATTAACCACCACACCCTGCTAACTCTTTTGTGGGTGAGGAAACAGGCCCCTGGGGCTGTCATCTTGCTTGATGAGAACAGATGCTCAGTCCTGTTCTTTCCACCTCCATGTGGTTTCTATTAATCAGTTGAGTGGTGACTTCCTCACCTGAAAAGGGGATGTAGAGAAGGAAGGTCAAGGTGAACCCAACAGAAGTGGAGTGTTCCGAAACTGCTGGTGCAGAAGCAAGAGTAAATGAAAAAGGAAAGTTCAAGGAACTCAAGTGCTGCAGGGCTTCAATGCCTCATCAAATAAAAATGCAAAAATAATTGGAACCAGAAATTCATGAAGGCCTAAAATCCTGCATAGGATGTCACAGAGGAGATACAGTTCAGAGTGAAGGGAAACAGGCAAGAAAGAAGATGAAGAGAGCCAGGTGAAAGACACAGACATGAAGGTTTTCTCCAGCATCCTTCACCTGCTCATGTATCTGTGGGGACAACCTGGGATCTGTTTTCTGGGCCTCATGTACCCTGAGCCTGTCCTCTGAAATGGGCAGTCATCCCTGTCACTTTTCTTTTTTTCCAGTTTGTGGTTCTGTCTAAAGGCACCAGCAAGGTAAACAGAGTAACTCTAAATGCTGTCAGCTACAACATGTTCCCAGGATATGGGGACCAAGGAGCCTTTGGTACCAAATTCAATGGTTGTTTCCAGATCTCTAATATCAGGTGTGGCCTCAGAAGACATTTTTCCATTCAAAACTTCCCATGCCCTCTTAAAGTTGAGTAACTCCTACTGAACCAAGGAAATTCGGCACAGTACCAACGGTTCTGTCCTTACCACCTCCTCGACTCCCATCTTTTTGTGTGCTGAGTTACAGGTGGAACTCTCACAGGTCTCCCACACTGCCACTGGACTTGGCACACGGCTTCCTCATTCATGTCCTCTGTACACAATTGAGTCTGTAAAGTTTTACTACTGCTTTGTTTTCTGGAACCAGCAACAAGCAGAGTATGGTAATGCAGGGACAGATTCTCATTCTCAGGGATGGGCTTAGCATGCTAAGCCAGCTTTACTCAAAATTGGAACTGTAAAAAAGCATCTTGCTACAGTTCCCTCTTGTCTTCTCTGCTGGCTAATAAGCAGCAAATGGCTCTAGATACTCAATTGGCCAAAGAAGATTGACAAAGCCCTCTTAGGCAAGAGCTACTCAGACCAGCATTGCCAATACACAAGTAGCTTCACTGATTTTAGCCATTTAGTGATTTCAAGAATGATACAGATTACTTTCTAGTTCTTTGGCTGAGTGAAGGAGAGTGACACAGATGATACAAAAAGGACCCCTGTCATTAAAATCTTCATTGGCCAAAGCTCATAAAGCCCTGTCCACGTCCCTCTTTCAGGCTGGGATTCTGCACACTAGCTTTTCTATTGGCAGTGAAATAACTGAGTCCCTGCTGCTGGTCCCCAAATATATTGTGCTCTTATCACTTGAATGGAGGATTGGATTGAATTGTCACTATAAAGATCATGTGCTGTTAGATTCCCATAAGACAATGTTAGAAACTATCTGTCAAATTTCATGTGAATTGATTATACATTAATCCATTACTCTTGCACTCCATTCTCAAGGGGCAAGAAATTAAAAAAAAACCTACTTGAAATTTAAAGTCGTCACCCATACGCCTTTCGTAAATTTATGAGGCCAATTTCAAATACTGGAGTTTTAGACTAAAGAGAAGAAAGATCTAGCCTGCAGAAAAAGAAATAAAGGGCTAAAGAGAATCGCAGTCTAGAAGAATCCCTAAGCTGTAGCTAATGTGGAAAATGAAATAAAGTTAATGAGGACAAAAGCATGGTTTTTAAAAGGAACTCTGAAAGGAGTTCCTTTTAATGGCCACAGAAACGTGTATTGCAGGAGCTCGGGACATAAGCTCAGCTGATGAAGTGCCTGTCTGATGCATTAGGCTGCTTTCTATTGCTGGACTAAAACACTAACCAAGACCAACTTGGAGAAGAAAGGGTTTATTTTTTCTTACAGCTCACTCCAAGATCACACTCCATCACTGAGGGAAGTCAGGCCAGAAACTCGGGATAGAAAGGTAGAGGAAGAAGAGACCATGGAGAAATGCTTGCACCCTTTGAGTTGCTTTCTTATAAAGCACAGGTCCACAGGGATGGCACCAGCCACAGTGGGTTGGACCTTCTTATGTCAATCATTAATCAAGAATGTGTCCACATACATGTCCACAAGTCAATCTGATGGAGGCAATTTTTCCAATTGAAATCCCTTCTTTCTAGGTTGTTCTAGATTATGTCAAGTTGACTGAGACTTATGAGTCCTCCTTGTAGGCTTGAAGATGTAAGTTTGATCCCCAACCCCCATGCAAAAATACATGATGAGGTGATTCAAACTTTTAATTCCAGAACTGGAGATTCAGAAAAAAGAGGACCCTTGGTTCACTGGCCAGGAGTGTAGTCTAATTGGTAGCTCAAAGCCAGTGAGGACCGTACCTCAAAAATAGTTGGAGGTATTGTTGTAGATGGCACCTGAAGTTTCTTCTGGTTTCCATAAATGTATGCACATGTGTTCATTCCAACACACACACACACACACACACACACACACACACACACACTAAAGGAGATGCAAAACCCAGAGAAGTGGATTTACTTGTCAATTGTGCAATACTGAATCTCTTTCAGTTAACTTTAATGTTTGAGCATGCAAAGTCCTTCAGAGCAGAGTTTTGAGAAAGCTCTTCTTATTAAATACATTTGACAAGGCGGGGCGGGGGGGTAAATAACAGTATATTGGTGCTGAGAACCATGACACCTGACAGAAACAACTCAAGGAAGAAGGATTTATTTAGCTGAGGGTTTCAGGTGGCTCCATCCATCGTGGCAGGGAAGGTGTGGCAAAGCAGCTCCTGGAGGTGGGAACATGTGATGGAGGCTGTAGACGCCGGTGCAGATAAGGAAAGCTAGAGAGAGAGGAAAGGTCAGGGGTGAGTATAACCTTCGAAGACCACTCCTACTGACCTACTTCTGAGAGCTAGGGCAAAAGAGTAATGTCAGCTGGAGAAAGGGCATAGAAATGTGAGTGTGGTGGGGAAGCTATCTGATTTAAAGCATAAGGATAGTGAAGGCAGTTTACTGAATTGATTTGAAGCACTTGGGAGACTGAGGCAGGAAACTGAGGAGTTAACAGTACTTAACTACATAGCAAGTTCAAGACCAACTTGGGTTACATGAGATCTTAAATCATAAACAAGACAGCAACAAAATGTCATAGTCTAGACACTGTGCACATTTCTAAATCTTGTGACAGAGTAATATCCTCTTCACTCAGCCAGACACTTAACAGTCAGTGATATGTTGCAGTTAATTCTCATTACATCAGGACATCTGACTTTTAATTAAATTATAATAGATAACCACATTCTCATTTCAAAAATAAGGAATATGAGCCTGCTATCAGTTAAATGCATAAACAGATAAAGTCAATGCTTAACACATCAATTTTGTTTTACTATAATTTTTAATATTTTCATAAACCTGTAATTATTGTAACAATCGTGGGTGGATGTGATGTTGTCCGTCTCTTTCTTCCTTCGCATCCATAGGGTCAAGCTGTCATTCTAAAGAGAGCTCAACAGCATTAGCTACACCACAGAAATCAGAAAATGCTGCAGACCAATGCTCATTTGTGACTTTGCAGTATGTACATAAGATACTCATGGAGAAAATGCCAATGGTGCATATTAAACTTGGAATAAGATGCTTAAAATGACACAAAAAGTAACAAGCTATCATTTCCCTGCTCAGAAATTATTTTTACAAGATCCTGCGAAGTGTCACTTAAGTTGCTGATGAGTGAGTGACATCCTCACATCTGTCTCTGTCATTCTACTTGCTAACATACACTGAATGGCTACCAACATTCATTTCACAACTACAGTAGTTATTACTAACCATAAGTTGTCGGTAGGTATAAGGTTTCATAAAAAAAATGAAATCAGTTATAGGAAACTTATGTTAGAGAGTTGTATGTTATTATTTATAAAACTCATGTTATATATCTTAAATTTCATCTAACTTTAAATCATTGGTGTATATTCAGGGTACAAAACAATGTGTTTCATTATGACATTTTAAGCATCTTTTTTATATATTCAGCCATATTCACCCTTCCTTTCTTCTTCTTTCTCTCTTCCTCCTGTCTCTTTCCTCTTCTAAAGCACTCCCTTTTACACTTTTATTTATTATTACTTTATTTCAAAGTACAGAGTCCACACATGAGAGAAAATACATGCTTGTTTTTCTGACTCTGGCTTGTTCATTAAACATCATGATCTCCAGCTCCACCCCCTTTCTTAAGAATAATGGGATATTGTTCCTCTTTATGGCTACTGAAAAGTCCACAGTAACTAATTCTACCATGTTTTCTTCATCCAGTCCTTTGTAGATAGGCATTCAAGCTAACCTCGTAAATTGGCTATTGTGAATAACAATCATTAGATATATGTTTACACATATTTTACATCAGTAAGGTTTATAATAAGTGTATGTAATATCTTAAAGAAGATTTTAATCTTACTTTATTTACCTATATGTGTGTAGAGAGGAAGATAATATGTAAACATGTGTGCAGGTCATGGAGGCAGAAGAGTGTTCTGGGTCATCAGGAACTGAAGTTAAAGGACGTTGGGTGCTGCCTGATTTGCGTTGGGTCCCGTAGCATCCCACTAATGTCCCACTAGGGTCACACTATCATCCTCTGCAAAAGCAATAAGCCTTGCCCCAATAAATGCATACTTTTAAAGATCATTGTGGTGGTTTCAATGAAAATGGTTCACATAGACTCAGGGAGTGGCACTATTGGAGGTGTGGCCTTGTAGGGGTAAGTGTGCCTTGTTGGAGGAATTATATCCCTGGAGACTGGCTTTGAGGTTTCCGAAGCTCAACCCAGGCTTAGTAGTTCACTGTCCCTTCCTGCTGCCTGTGAATCCAGATGTAGAACTCTCGGCTATCTCTAGCACTGTGTCTGACTGATTGCCACCATGTTTGCACTTAAAGCTGGTGCATGGTCGTTTTCATCTCCAGACCTCATTTCTCCACAACAGCAATGAAATAGAGCCCTACATTTCATAGAACTTTAAACTTTGTCATGTGCTTTATTCCTGCTATTTCGTTTGAGCCTCCACAACAGTGGTGAGATACAGAAGAAAGATCTCATTTAACCCTCAAATTGAGGCTAAGGAAGATTAAAGCAATCCTGTACAGTTTTTACCCTATCGCAGTATAACTCACATCTTATTTTTCATGATCACAGTCTGCAGTGGAAATGCAAATAAAATTACTACAGTTCATTGGGCAAAGTGAGGTAATAAAGAAAGATTACAGTGTCCAAATAAATTGAGCAGCAAAATGTCCATCAGAAACCAAAGAGCTGGAACAGGAAAGAAAAAAAAAGGCTCAGAAGATGAAAGCTTGCTCATTCTGAATGATTTTCTCAAAGACATAAATATTCCAGCTAGCTGTGGAAAATCCCCTGAGTTGTTGATGTAAGTCCATGGTACAAATGAGCTGATTGTTTTTACTGTGGAATCAAGAGTATGGAGAGCTAGTGCTGAAGAGATGGGACAGTGAATAAAATGCTTGCGTGTAAGCCTGAGGACCTGCGTTTGGGTACCCAGAACACATGTAAACCCAGGAGTGGTAGTTCATGTCTATCATCCATCCCTGTGGGGAGATGGATGTGGAGACAGGAACATCCCCAAAAGCATTCAGGCCAGCTACTGTTGCAGATAGATGCAGCTATGAAACACAACAACGCTGTCTCAAGCAAGGCAGAGGGTGAAGATTGACACCTGAGTTCCTCTGACCTCCACATACTTGCATGTGTGATAATCTCACACACTCACACAAATACACGCATGCACACAATAGAATGTACACACAGATCCTTAAAAGAAAGATTTTGGCAACGTGCAGGTTGAGCATCCCTGACCTGATCATGTGACATGCTTCAGATTCTGAATTAGTGTTAGAATTTGGGGTTATCTGACTGAGGATGTTCAAGCACTGGTTCATGCAAGTACTGTAGAACTATTTCTAAAATGCAAAGGATTTCTGGCCCCAAATACTTTGCATAAAAGATGCTCTGCCTGTAGTGAATATCATTTTATATTTATCTGTGGCTTATATGTGCTGACATTTTGTCAAATGTTTTAAGTCAGTCTATCATTCCCTAATTCCTCAGCATAATCCCACATCATAATTCTTAAGCTTTTATACATAAGCAAATTGAAGCTGAGAGTGTAGCATATCTTAAAACTTGGATTTCAATGTTTATTGAGGTTAGAAATTGTATCCTGACTCCTCAGATAACCCCAAGCTACAAGCTGTGTGTGCTTGATTGACCTGCACAGCTGCTGCCACTGTGTTTTAAGAACTCCATACTTATGTATATTTGATAATTAATAGCATAGCTCTTCTTAATCAGGTTGTCAGTAAACCAGGTATGAGAGATTTAGTTGAAAATCCACTGTAATCACATTTGATATCTATTCCTTGATTGAATATACCTTCAGTCCTCCTATATACAACTCTTCAAATTCACACAGCATCTTTTTAATTTTTATTTTTTCAAGATTTACTTATTTTATATATATGACTATTTTGCCTGCATGTATTTATGTACCCCAAGCATATGCCTGGTGCGAAATTAGGCCATAAAAAGGCATCATATTCCCTAAAACTGGAGTTATGAATCCTTATGTGGGTGCTGGGATCCAAACCTGGGTCCTCTGCAGAGTAATAAGTGCTCTTTACCACTGAGTCATCTCATGTCCTCATGCCTGTTGCTCTGCTTCCTTTACTTGAAATCTACTTGTCACAGAGTTAGGTAACTCTAGGGCCAGAACCTGTGTGCTGATCAGGACAGTGTGCCACAGGCCCAGCTTTTACTGCTTAGGCAAATGGTACCATCTCCGAGCTCCCAATCCTTCATGTAGATGGGATGCATACTCTGAGAGGTTTCCCTGGGGAAAGTGGACTAAATTGCATAGTGCTGAGATGCCTGAGGCACTTGTCATCAGTGTACACATTTGTCACATGTCATTGGGAGGTTCAGGTAAAGCTCCATGAGTGCAAGTAAGCCTGGGGTTTGATGGAGAAGCCATCCAGAAAGAGGGAGAGCAAGCAGACCATTATACTCTCTACATTACACACCCCACAGGCTTCAGAAAAGATATGCATGGAGTGTATGAGGAACTACTATACTCAGAACTAACCTATGCATTCATTTCTGTTTGTCCCCTTAAGACCACAGGGACACAATGCTCCACAGAACTCATCATGGCTATGGCTTCTGGAAGCTATGGAAACAAAAATATTTTCCACCATCATTACTTCTTTCAAGGAGTGTTTTTTTTTTACTGCATCATTTCCAGAGAGTTCTTGATTCTCCCTGTCCCATTGTGGAGATAATTACTCCATCCTAATGAGGAAAAAAGTCTATGTGTGCATGAATTAGCAGGCAAGAATCCCAGTGACTGTTGTGTTGGGGATTATCAAATCATTATCTTGGCCCATTGGGCCTCCACTTTACTCTGGATCTAGTTCTTTATCTGTGAAAACTTCTCCTAAACTCAAATCCCACCTCAACCTCTCACAGCTAACATTTCTTCACTGGATCAAAGTACACTTGAACAATGGTTCTCAACCTTCCAAATGTTGCAACCCTTTAATACAGCTGCTCGTGTTGCAGTGACCCCTAACCATAAAGTTCTTTTCATTGCTACTTCATATATGTAATTTCTCTACTATTATGAATCATAACATAAATATCTGAAATGCATGATAGCTGATATGTGATCCCTGTGAAAGGGGTCATAAGCCCCGGGTTGAAAGCTGCTGGTCTAGACCATTCCGAGACGCCCATTGTCCTCAGAATGCTAGGGACCTGCGTGAGTCCGTAGCCTCCCTCTCGCCCATTCTATCACATTTGTGGCTCTTTATTTGGAATTATCCACAGTTTCACCAGTTCCCATCTTTGCACATACTATTTCCTCTTCTCTCTTTGAACATGGTTGAGCATCAGCAACACCCGGATTAGAGAGCCTGAGAAGTGAAGGCTGTTTTGCAGCATGATTTTCTCAATCACAGTATTTATCCAACAAAGTTATAATGGTCGTTTCCATGTCTGCATCTTTCACTACTTCAGGATGTACTGAAAAGAGGGAGACTCTGTCTTTCTATCCCTGAGCTTTTGACATCTTTTGCAGACCTCATACACGAGCTCCTCACAAATATTTATTAAATGAATGCAACTTGTGCATTGCACGCAACGCCCTTGGGTGTATAAACAGGCACAGCTATAACCGTATCGTTAACTATCCCTGCAATCTGCATACAAGTTCTACAAATAGTCTCAAATGGAAAAATCTAAATTTGAGTGCCAGGTCTACTACTGATGCGCCATGGGAATGTAGGCAGTCAATGAACTTTTCGGACTCTTCATCTGTATACAGAGGAAACATTCCCACTCTACTTATGTTAAAGAATGTTTTATGACAAGGAGTGATCATATAGTGAGGCTGTTGGTGACAGTTCCATCTGCTCTTCAGAGTAAAGGCTGTATCCTGCAAAGTGATGGGAATCGTGGCTGCATCAAGCCATTTCATCGATGCTTAGGTAAGGCAGAGCCAGAAATGATGAGTTGCAGATGCTCCAGAACAAGGTCCACTCTCACACCGAACCAACACAAAGGTGTCTGTGCATTTGGAGGTCACTGTGTAGGAGATATAAGGTCACTATGCCGCAATGGGGAATTTTGTAATTCTGTGGCATGCAGAACTTGGCATCTGCGTTCCTTTGTTTCTGTAAGCTCAGACCCGCTTAACTAGCGATTTGAAAGTTGTTAGGGGTACATCTGGAATTGGTACTGAGTTAAACTTAGACATCTAACTACTCTGCTCTAGAATGTGAAGTGGGTTTCATCATAAATGAATTACAGTTATAATGGCATAATGTTTATTAAACTCAGTACCAGACTGAGGATCAATTGTGATACTCTAGTAGTTATGAGTACCACTAAATTATTGATTTGAAAAAAGTTGTCAAAGTTATATGTGATGAAACTGGTGTTTTAACTGTAATATTTAAACTGTAATGTTCAGGGGCTAGGAAGATGACTCAGTGGTTCAGAAGACTTTCTGAGATCCAAGGTGTGGATCTGAGCATCCGCATTAAGTAGTTCACAGATGCACATAAGACCAACAAACTCCAAGGGTCCTGATCATAAAAGCAATAAAACACTTGACAGAATTTTCAATGTTTATACATTTCAGGTTCCTATACCCAGAAGGATCTTAGATAGGCCTGGAAATCTATATTTTAGCAAGATTTTACGTGGTGTGTACATAGGTGACGCTCAGTCTGTGCTTTGGGGGAGTCTGGGTATTCTGTGTAACATTTAAAACGCGTGGTCATTTAGGCAGAGTGATGTTAGACAAAACAGCATGAGGCACTTAGCATTATCAATTCATTTCTCTGAAATTTTTACACCTGGGTTACACTATCCATATTCAAGGGCAGTTTATTGTCTGTGAAGAAGAGAGGAATGTATGTGATCAAAACAAGTAAAATACAAGCACTCGTAGAAATGGGCTTTAATTCCTTGTTCTTAAGCTACCCTGTAGCTTTTATACATGTGGAAATGGAGGTGTGAGAGGCTTAGGAGTTTCTCCACATCTCAGAGCACATACAGGACAAAACTGACTTTAGATTCTGCCCCAACAGAGTAGCCTGTAATGTGGTTTTGTTCACCCAACACTGTTGTTCCAGTCACACTTTTCAGCTCTATTACAATACTTGAGGGTTTCTGGTGGGTGAGTCTGAGTCTTTTAAGATAGAGTCTGGCTACACAAGGTTCTGGATTGCTTTCCTTGAGATACTTTTATTATCACAGAGACACAGCCTTCTGCTACCTACCTACCCTCTCAGGCATCCTTGGCACCTTGTGGTATCTTCTGATAAATAACTGCCATCTGGAGTTCTAAGACCTTCCAGGGTGCACTGTCAAAAGAATTTTAGTTTCCACCCTATTGGCCAGAACACCGCAACAAGGGGAAAAAATGAAAATTGAAGATAAGCAGCTTGCTCCCACATTCTACCCTCTAACCCAAAGTCTGCTTGATCATGGAAAAAGAAAGAAATCATGCTCGGTTAGAAAAAAACAAGTCAGAGTTCGAGAGTGTGACAACTGTCCATCCGAGTCCACCAAGCCACAGGCCAATTTGTCCCTCTTCATAGAGCAATGCTAAATATCTTGTCTTCTCTTGCAGATGAAGGAGGCTGAGTAGCTGAGTCTATACTACCATACCACCTGGATAGGGGGGAAGAATATGAAAGAAAAGGAGGAGATGAAGAAGGAGGAAGACCATGAAGTCTTGATTTAGGTTAATGAAGCATAATGGGCATTCAGACTCAGGCTTGACTATTGCTACTTTTTAAGTGGTGAGTGGGAACAAACGTGCCCTGTTTGTCTAAATGGTCCCATGATATAATCCTCGGAGGCAGAGACCCAGACTCCATGCTGAGGCACGTTCTGCTTTTTTGTTTCTTGGTGTTGCTTTTCTTCTGTTCTATCAGGGTGTCTTCCTGAGAATTGCTCATTGATGATGCTCAAGATGACAGGATTGGTGCTGATGGCTAACATGCATTGAAATACATTCCAGAGTGGACCCCAGGATGGCTTTGATTGAGTATGACTACACAATGCTCAGGCTCCCCACAGGCTGCTTGTAAAGGCAGCACAAAGCTCCAGGAGACATGGTCCTCCTCAGAGGATTGGAACAGCACCAGGCCAGCTGCCTCTCCCCATCTCTGACTCACATCCTTCCTCTCCCAGCTGGGATCAGATGTTGCCAAGAGAGCTGAAAAATTCAGTAAACTTCTATTTAAATAGAAGCTAATCAAGAAGTTGAGCAGACGCCACGAATGCCCAACACCTCCAGCAAATGGGTTCTCAGCACCAAAGCTCACTCCCCTGCCCCCACATTGGCCACATCCAGCAGGCTTGGCTGTGTAAGTCTGAAGCCAGAGTTAGGAGTTCATCACACCCAGCTGTGGCAATGGTTCCAGACGGCAGGAGTACCATAGCTGGGCTTGGGCTGAGTGGAATCAAAATGCATTTCCCTTTCTATGTTGACCAATGGGAAGCCAGTTTATATAGTATATGTTGTTTGTGCTGACTGTAGAGGTACCACAAGAGTAGAATAAAAATTCAAAAAGATATGAAAGGAAAATGTCATCTTGCATACTGTATCCTGAAATGACTACTGTAAATATTACTGTAATCCAATGAAGAAACATATTCTATTATACATACTTATCATGTGAAGAGTTCATTTTGTTATTTTATGCATTTCTACTTTATCATAGATTATCAAAACTGTAAAGTGCAATATCTCTTAACAGCATGTTTTAATTTCTCAAGATTATTTTCCTGTATGATAATAATAATAACAATAATAACTATAATGCTCACTGCATATTCATAGTACATGGTGTTTTATGTGCCTCGTATGTATACAATAACAACAGTCACAGCAAGCTTCACAAATAGGAAAACTGAGGCAAGGAGCCATGAGCTGACTTGTTTCATGTCGCTCAGGATAGTTAACCAAGGGCTCAGACACTACGTGTTAGGTGGCTTTCTAATCCTGATGGTAAGAGCCCAACAGAAACAGCTTAACAGAGGCAGAACTTACTTTGCTTGTAGTTTGATGGCTTCAGTCCATCACTGCCAGGAGGATATTGTTGAAGCCCAACAACGCACCTCCCATGCTTCCCGCACCACCATTCCTAGTCTCCAAGATACAAGCCAAACATAAAGCCAAGGTAAACAGATGGAGGAAACTTGGCAAGCTAATATAACCGAGTGTTGTTCAGCTTTAGATGGTAGAAAAGCCTGGCCTTTGATAGCTTTAAGATGCTCTCCGTAAGACAAATAGTGTAAAACACTACCAAAATGAGATCTCTGCTATTTAGTCTCCCAGGGGAAATAATGCAGGTGCCACAAGCTATGAGGGAAAGGACAGTGGGAGTTTCTCTTGGGTGTATTAAAGCTTCAGTTACGCCACATGAACGAGTTCTAGACGGCATAGGATCTATCATTGGCAACATTGCTACTGTGCACGCCATCATCTGTTACATGGATAAATGCCCCATTAAGTGTTCTCAGCACATGTACCCAAATCAAATGAAATACAAAGGGGCACAAGAAAACCCGGGGAAGTGTCTGATGTGTTCCATGCCTGTGGTAAGGTGATAGCTTCTGTATTCTTCCAAACTCAGGACACATTCAATATACTTAGTTCCCTGCACATCCACTGTATGTAAATGAAACTGCTAACACCAGCTGTCCTGCAGTGCCTTCCATCCTCAGAACCCAGTGATTAGCTTCTTCTCTGGCTCGATTCAAACTAGAAAATCTCACCGATCATAAGCCCTTAATGTCAGAAGCGATTTTTAAGGATGATTTTGGTGGCTGGTGTTCTTTAAGGAATGCAAACTAGTATGCAGACATCATGCTTCCAGGTTCTTAAAGGATCAGGTACGATGATGGCTGGTCAAATCACAGCAGCATTCTCAGAAGCAGTCTCACTGCAGTCTGACAGTGGTGGCTCCGGTCTCCCTCCAGCTCTGACTCCATGGAGACCCCAAGATATCACAGCTATCTGATTCATTCACCCGGCCTCTTGCCTGCACCCCTTTCATATCTGATACATAAGTTTAAGGAACTGCACCCTTGGCCAGAGACACTTCCCACATGTAAGCGCAATCTTCCGACACCAAGAAATTTTTCTTCAGGAAGGAATCATCCCGTCAGGAAAGAAAATAAAAGTCTTCTCATTAGTAAGAAAAATATTGATCACGGCTGCTAACTTTTTTCATCTACATGACCTTTAGCTTGACTAAGACATCGAGTCCCTCCAATGCCTGGTCGCCGTGACTGTAAATTTACTATTTTGGCTTCTGTCACAGTTTGCCTGTTACCCTGAGCAGAGAGTAAGTGGACAGATGACTCATTAGATTTATTGGGTTTGCTCACAGCCACCTGGCAGTCATGGTCAACGTGAACTCCTCTTGTTTAGCTCCCCCAGCCTAGCTAGAAGGCTCGGGAATAGTATCCCAATAACCCTGTCTAAATACATAGGCAGATTAGTCACATGGCATTCAAAGGAAATGAAAGCATTGTAAAAATGCCTTCAGAAAAATAATGCAAGTCTTTAACGTAGGTGAGATGGAACAGAGATGGACACCATGCAGTGCACTGCAACCATCTCATGAAAACTTCTCACAGCACATGGCAGGGAGGGAATTCTCTCTTTTCTCTCTTCACTGCCATCTTGCTGTCCTTTGTCTCCTTCCTGTCATGCCTAACTCCATTTAGGCTCACCATTTTTCACAATTATCTGTCCCTGACCAGCCTATCTGGAACCCAGAGTTCAGGGAGATGGAGGTTGGTGACCTGCTTTGAGGATACCTTACAAGAAGTCACGCCTTCCTCAATGCCACTCAAGTTTTTTCTTGTGCAACATCACCAGGAAAATAAAAAATAAATGGGGTCAAAATTCAGGAGAGAGGAGGGAAAATTGCAGTTATCTTTAATGGTCTTAGGGAAAAGGAGTAAAGGAACAAATTTAAATGTTTTACCGGAGTTCAGACAGGTGAGAGAACTTGAATGGAAACACCCTAAGGAGCTCATTGTAGCTAAGGGCCCTGGTCCCACCTTCTCAGAGTGAGTCAGACATGAGTTCTGCCTTAAACTTTCCTTTCCTCACTGAAGCATCTTTCTAAACCGTCATAATTTTGTTGATTCTCATGAATATGAAAAAGTTTATTATGAAACAAAATACATAAAATCATGAGTAAGTAATATAAACAAATCATCATGAGGAGATACAAATTGCTAATATTCTGACATAGATTTTTCATGAAAAATTATATATATATGTATATATGTATTATATATATACCCGTTTTACCTTAAATCTCTCTAATAATGTATCTGTTTCCATTTTAATTATTTAACATATATTTGGTTTATTCTATTGAGTTTTTAAACTATGAAAGCAATATACTTTTATTGTAATAAGACAGACAATATGAAAAAATATAAAGAGCCATTTCCTGTATAGGGCATTTCCTACTTCCTACTGTCAATAAATCCTCTTCATGCCCCTAACTCCTTCAGAGTTCTCAGACAGCTCTCAGAGAATACAGGGTTATCTCAGAATAAAGCTTCCTGCTCCAGCTACTTGCAGGAGAATTTGATTCTCATCTGTCCTGCAGAGAAATTGAAGAGACTGGGGAGACAGAGTTGGCTAGATTGGGGACAGCAACATCCATTGCTCCTCATAGTCACTGAAATAGTGCTAGGCCCATGGAAATAACTAACAACAGTTATTCACCCAAATGGTCAAAAGAGCCATGTAATACAAACACATGCACACCAGTGTGTGTTACAGTACTGGTGACAAGTGCTGTACCATGAAATCATCCTAGGAGTCAGTCAATTGCTCACGGGTAAACTCTCAGAGATATGGGAAAGTGTATGCATTACAACATTCTTAATAGGATTGCAAAGGACAGAAAAGAGAGGCGGTGGGAGGGGATTGAGGGAAAGAGATAAAGTATCAAACACGTAGTTTAGATGCTCGATAACAGGGAAGTCTAAAAGCACAACAGTATATATCCTTCTGAGAGAAGGATACCCTAATTATATAGCAGAAGAATAATAGCTCATCATAAACATCACTCAGTTTTGTTGCAAGCAAGGGAAGACAAACTCTGATTACAATCAGAACCAAAGTGTAGGTTATTGGAAAGTTCAATATGTATGAGAAAGCTGGGAAATGGTGGGAGAGCTCAGATGTGCCAACTACAGGGGTTCCTACGTTACTAAGACAGTCTGAGATTGGTGTTGCCAGGAGATGTGAATGTCAATCATTTTGCTTTGTCCTCAGAATCTGCAGCAAGAGTGAAATGTGCAGAAAGGAGCAGCCATCTGTTGCAGCTCAGAAAAGCTGTCTTCCCTTTTTTGAGGTGTTGCATGGATGCTAATAATTAACTGCTGAATGAGGAGAGAACTTTCCACTTCTAATTCCATAATGATCATAAGATGGAAAAACATATCCTAGGCAAATGGATGGCATAAATACCCACAACTAACACAGGGCATTCTTTATGTAGTCAATTTTAGAAGAAAAAGACTGTCTAGTAAGGTCCAAATAGCCTATTATAACCACAAATGAACTCCCCTCCTTTTGAAATCACAGGAAATCAATCAATGACTGACAATAATGTTATTGACATTCTGGTTTTTACAGTTGTGCTTAGTTTGTAAAACTTCATTAACTTCGGTTCATATTTTTCTATGCATATATTATCTTTGAAAATAGATTCTATTTTTATAAGCAGGCCCAATAACTTTCTCATAAATTAAAAAAATATTTTAAAAGTCTGGACCACCTGAACTAACTATTTCCTGTATTGATATTTTGAAACATTGGAACAATGTCAATTTCAACTGGCATATATATAACCAATATAGAAGAGTAGTAGACACATAGAGAGGGAATATAGGCTAATTAAAACATTTATTACAATGTGAAAAAACAAAGAAAATTTGAGTAGACTGAACTCCTTATTGTTTGTTGTGACTGATGCCCTCCTATTTGCTGTCTATGTTCCCTGGACATTCATCTATCATCTTGATGGCTCAGAGTAGAGCAATACGAATTTTAATTCCTCAGAGTACTTTAGCCTCAGTTATTCTGGTCACATAGAATGGAAGTTTCAGTAATGGTCCTATTTTTTTGGTATTTAAAAGATGCTGTACATGGCCAGAGCAGATATTAGCAGCATGGATCATTCTCAGGCATTTAGAGTCTTGTCACATCTCAGAAATAAGACAAATGGTATGTTGCACCAAGTGTGACACACAACCTACCCAGTGGTAAAAAGGATTTGTTCATAAGCACTCAGTGACTCTAATGTGCTTACCTAACAGAGTGTTCTGGTTTGAATCTGAAGGAAATCCTCAGCTGATACTGCCATGTTGGGAGGTGGTGGTACTAGTTAATAGATCCTGGTAACTAAGGGATTGCTGCCTGCGGATCCAGCACCATGTAAGTCTGTCTACCTGTATGCTACCATGCTACACACCATGACGATAATGAACTAAAAGCCTCAGGAAATGGGAGCAGGCCCCAATTGAATGTTTTCTTACATAAGAGTTGCTATGCTCATGCTGTCTCTTCAAAGCAATTGAATAGTAACTAAGACAGAGTTGGAACCAGGAAAAAGGGTTTGATGTGACCATGATGCTTGTTGGCAGAATGTAGACTTTAGCACTTTATATTAGGAAAGCAGTTGAATGTTGTAAATGGTGCTTAATGGGCCATACTCAGAGCATAGGAGACAGTGGTGCTGAGAGCAATGTAGATTACAACAGCCTGACTCAAGAGGTTTCAGAGGAGAAGAGCGTTAGTAAGAGGCATAGACATCGTTCTTGTGATACTTTGGCAAAGAATCTGGTTGCTTTCTGCCCTTGTAGGGAAAGTCTGCCTGAGTCTGAATTGAAGAATTTTGGACTAATGATGTTGGCAGAAGAGATTTCAAGACAGCCTAGTATTGACTGTGTTGCTTGGTTGTTAGTGGTCACTTTTATGCAGATTTATACTGAACAGGAACAACCACACAAAAAATATGCAAAATGTAGTTTGAGGAGAAAAGGAACACAGGAATTATAATGGAACTCTGTCCAGTGTTCAGGGAGATGGACAGTTTAAAGGAAAG